GGAATCTCAGAATCTCAGAATCTCAGAATCTCAGAATCTCAGAATCTCAGAATCTCAGAATCTCAGAATCTCAGAATCTCAGAATCTCAGAATCTCAGAATCTCAGAATCTCAGAATCTCAGAATCTCAGAATCTCAGAATCTCAGAATCTCAGAATCTCAGAATCTCAGAATCTCGGAATTTCAGAATCTCAGAATATCAGAATATCAGAATCTCGGCAACTCAGAATCTCAGAATCTCAGAATCTCAGGATCTCAGAATTTCAGAATCTCAGAATCTCAGAATCTCAGAATATCAGATTCTGGAGATCTTGAGATCCTGTGACCATAGGATCCTGGAATCCCGGCGTCCTCCAGAATCTCAGAATCTCAGAATGTCAGAATCTCAGAATCTCAGAATCTCAGAATCTCAGAATCTCAGAATCTCAGAATCTCAGGATCTCAGAATCTCAGAATATCAGATTCTGGAAATCTTGAAATCCTATGACCATAGGATCCTGGAATCCCAGCATCCTCCAGAATCTCAGAATCTCAGAATCTCAGAATCTCAGAATCTCAGAATCTCAGAATCTCAGAATCTCAGAATCTCAGAATCTCAGGATCTCAGAATCTCAGAATATCAGATTCTGGAAATCTTGAAATCCTATGACCATAGGATCCTGGAATCCCAGCATCCTCCAGAATCTCAGAATCTCAGAATCTCAGAATCTCAGAATCTCAGAATCTCAGAATCTCAGTATATCAGGTTCTGGAAATCTTGAAATCCTATGACCCTAGGATCCTGGAATCCCAGCATCCTCCAGAATCTCAAAATCATCGTTTTCAGCAACTTTCTCTCCAGCTCCACCACCACCTCGCGATTCTCCACGTGGCCTCATCTCCTCCCATCTCCACCACCACTCCATCCATCACAACACCATCCGGCCACCCCGTCGTACTTCCAAAGAGTACCCCTTGGATATTTCCCTCTCCAGAAATCAGTATCCACGTCATCATCAAATCGACACCAATCGTAGTCTAATGTCCCAATCAATGTGTGTCCCTGGACCCTCCTATTCCTCTGCTTCCTCCACATTTTCGCGTGATTCCTTCGCTCCATCTCCAATGCTCAAAGGATTCGCAGGGGCTCCAGGATCCAGTAAATCAAGCCAAATGTATGATTCCTCGGGAATCGGATCCATGGCTCCATCTGCATTCTCTGCCACGTCATCGTTGGATTACAAAGAGAAGAGACATCGCAAATCGTTGCCGAATCATCATTCAATGATGAGTAATAGTTTAACGACACCAAGGAAGCATCATAAGATTGGAAAGAGTCTTTCAAATTTGATTACTCTTAGTTATGTTGGTGAGTTGGTCTAGCCTTCCAAAGGGGTGGCCTAGTTTTCCATTTTATGACCTAGTTTTCCAGGCTCCGACAAAATCCCAGTTGTCACTCATGTCCCATATGATGGACCAATGACACTAGCGGAATTCAAAAGACACTTTGCACTGCCAACTGGAGGACAACAGTGAGTTTTTTTTTAAATCTAAAGTTTGAGCTCAATTGAGGAAAAATGGGCGGAGCTACAGTATTTCCAGTAATAGAAGCCTTTCAAAATCGTCAACTTTGAGCTTAATTATCTAGGTTCCTATAAGAGATATCAAAAAACTGTCAACTGATAAAATATTGGTGATGTTATGATAAAGATTTTACTAGTTGACAAACTTTTGATAACCTTCACAGGAATCGCGTTAACTGAGCTCAAAGTTTAGATGGGCTTATAAAAGTAATGCGGTATGAGACGATAAAGTGGCAACAACACAACCGCTACGCAACCGCAACGCATGGGGATCTCTTGAAAATTTGAAATCCAATTTTAAATATCACTAGCTACATCTTGGCTAAGTTACAGAACGCTACCTTTATCAGGAACCAAGATATGAGTCTTAAAATTTTGAGAAATGCAACCGCGCTCCACAGAGAATTTTTGAAGAGCTGTAACTTGGTTCAAAATTGTTCGTTTTTGCTCAAATTTTTGGTATCGTTAGAAAACGTATTACTTCATGTTTTTGCCAATTTTCAAGCTTTTAGCTTGATTTTGAAAAACGTTATGCGCCTTTAACCGAGCCGCAATACGCAGACGACGTCTTCAAACTCCTAAAGTTTTTTGAATTCCGCGACGCAACCGCAGCGCATCGGCATTTTTTGAAAATTTGACATTGAATTTAAATTGTCACTAGTTACACACTGGCCAAGTTACAAAACGTTACTTTCATCAGAAACCAAGATTTGTCGCTTTATAGTTGGAGCGATGCAAGCGCGCTCTACTGTAATTTTTTCAAAACACTGTAACTTATTTTACAATTATCCGTTTGAGCTCAAATTTTGTCAATAGTTAGAAAATATAATATTTCCTTTTGTCTGCAAATTTGAAGTTCTTAGCTCAATTATGAAGTAAGTTTCTAAGCTTTTAACCGAGCCGCGCCAAGCGGTCGCAATTTTTGAACTCTGCGACGCAACCGCAACGCATCCGCATCTTCTGAAAACGAAGACTCAAATGTTAAATGTGATCAGCTACAAGATAGCCAACCTACAAAACCCTACCTTCATCATGAACCAAGATATGACACTTAGAAGATGGACCGATACAACCGCGCTCCATTGAGAATTTTTCAAAACGCTGTAATTTGGTTCAAAGTCCTGTTTGAGCTCAAATTTCGAGCACATTTAGAAAATATCTTATTTTATAATCTCACCAAATTTGAAGTTTCTAGCTCAATTGTTTAAAAAGTTATGTGATTTTAATCGAGCAGCTACACCGCCGAAACTTTCAAACTCCTATAACTGTGCTCAAAATGCTCCGAATCGCTTCAAATTTTTCATAGCTCAAGTTTATGCTCTTTGTTTTCAGATTATTCTTCAAAACCGACTGTGAAGACGGCTCGGCACCCTTCCAGCTGCTCCTGGTCCGCGATGAGCACACACTTTTGCCAGTTTTTGAGGTAATTGCTTTTTTTTTTTGAAATTTTTTTGAAAATTCAAATTTTTCAGGGAAGAATTGCTGCCGAGATTCGCTAAATTTCATTTTTATAATTCAACTTTTACTGGTTTTTCATACAAATTCTATACAAATTCACAAATTCGTGTTCTAATAAAATGATTTTTTCATTAAAAAAATATTTTTATGGAATTCGAAAAAAAAGTGAGAAATTCGAGATGCAATTAGTGTTGCCGAGATCAGGGGAAAAAAAATCAATAAATCGATATCAAGGAACTGATCGGAAGAAGGCGTTCTGAGCGAGCATATGGATGACACGGGTGTCTTTTTTGGGATTTCGTCGACCGTCGATACAGAGATACATGGACCAGAGCAGAACCATTAGGATTGAGATAATCACGTAGGCGAAGCTGAAAAAATTGGGATATAGATTTCTGAATTTGGCGCGCTGAGAGCTTTGAAATGAGTATAAACATGACCTTTTTTTGGGAACTTTCATTTTTGACCTAAAATTGGTTTGGACCAAAACTTGGCCATTTTTTGTCCAAATTTGGAATAAGTAGCATTAACGTACTTGTTCTGTTATGAGCTATAAAATGAGTATAATCATGACCTGTTTTGGAAAAAATTTCATTTTTCGTCAAAATTGGTTTGGTCCATAACTTGGTCAATTTCGGTCCAACACTTATAAAAACTACCCAAAAACGTTTGCCTTGTTTAGAACTTCAAAATAAGTATAAGCACGACATACTTCCGCTGAATTTGATTTTTGACCTTTTTTGGCCAGTTTCGGCCCAAAACAATTTGGGCTATCACTCGACTGTTTTCGGTCAAAATCAAAATTTTTTAACGAAGAACTGGTTGATTCATTATGCGCTTCCAAATTAGTATAAACAAGACATACGTTTGCTGAATTTGATTCTTGCCGTATTTAGGCCAGTTCGGGCTCAAATTTTGGCCAAAAATCAAATTAGACAAAAACCTGCCATGTTTACACTTATTTTAAAACGCAAAACAAGCCCGATACAGTAATCAACCAATTTGTAACGTTAGACTGAAATTGGCCGAGTTTTGGTCCGAAAACTGGTTTTGGGACAAAACAATTTGGACCGTAACTCGACTGTTCTTTGTTCAAAACAGGAAAAGTTAACAGTAAAATGCGTATTGTGTTTCGCGTTTAAAAATAAGTATAAACACGACATACTTTTGCCGATTTTGGTTTTTGCCGTTTTTAGGTCAGTTTGGGCCCGAATTTAGATCAAAAATCAAAATTTCAAAGTATGCCTTGGTTTTGCTTATTTCAAAGCGCAAAATAAACCAAATACAATTGTGTAAAAAACATTTTTAAATCAGACTAAAATTGGTCGATTTATGGTCCGAAAACGGATTTAGGCCAAATTTAGGTCGAAAATCGAAATTCTGAAAAGTATGCCTTGTTTATACTCATTTTAAAGCGCAAGACAAGCCAAATAAAATTATCGAACAATTTTTGACCTTAGACTATCAATTGGTCGAGTTACGGCCCAAAAACTAATTTAGACCGTTTGAGGCCAAATTTCTAATTTTTCAAAGGTATGTCTTGTTTATAGTCATTTTGAAGCACTCAACGCGTCAAATTCAAAAATCAATGTGTCAAGTCCAACAGAGCGCACTTACCTAACATAGGAGACGACTTGTTCACGTGTCCACGTGCCGAAAAACGACTGATTTTCAATGTTCTCATCCATGCATTGTTCTGAAAACTTTGAAAGTCTTAAGGGTTTTGAAAAGCGGGAAATTTGTGAAATATGAAGGAGAACCCATTTTTCGCAGGTTTTTATACCTATCAATCAATCATAAAAAATAATAACACCAACTGTTGCTTTTGGGGTGTCTGGGGGAGGTGTCAAAATGATTGGCACTCAAGAATGTTATTTTTGTCCCAAATCTGGAAATATCTAGAAAAAGTCGGAAAAAAAAATAATTTTTGGTCAAGAAAACTTTTAAGAAAATTCTGGAAATCAGGAGCTCCGGAAATGGCCAAAAAAAGTCAGAAAAAAGTGGAAAATGGCGAAAAAAGAGAAGAAATTAAGTGTCGGTTGGATGAGCAGCTTTAAAGAAAGGAGAAAAGTGAAAAGAAAAAAGGTCCCCGATTATTTGCAGTTGAATAGAGAAGTGACGGGAGGCAAAAAGTCTGGATTTTGGGAGAAATATCGATTTCAAAAGGTTCTAAAACTAAAAATAGTTCAAATTTCCGTTACTTTTAGTCGAAATGAATTTTCTATAAAATGTTTGAGTTTGGTGGTTTTTGGGCTTCAAAATGAGTATAAACACGACCTAGTTTTGAAATTTCGTTTTTTCGCCTAAAATTGTTTACGCCATAACTCGGCCAATTTTTATTCAAATCAAATTTAAAAAAAAACTACACAAAAATATTTGTTTTGTTTAGAGCTTCAAGATGAGCATAAACAAGGCATACTTTCAATTTTTTGATTTTCGGCCTAAAATGTTTTGTTAATTAGGCCAGTTTTAGTCCAAATTTGAAAAAAAATACATCAGAATGTTTGTTTTGTCTAGAGCTTTAAAATAAGTATAAACAAGGCATACTTGCAAATTTTTCGATTTTTTACCTAAAACTGGTTTGGGCCATAACTCGCTCCATTTTGGTTTAAAATTGAAATTAATTTCATCAAAATATTTTTTTAAGGCTTCAAAATGAGTATGAACAAGGCATACTTTAGAAAAATTTCAATTTTTTGCCTTTTTGAGCCACAACTAGCCTTATTTTGGTCCAAATGAAAAACGTACTACATAAAAAAACAATTGCCTTGTCAAATGCTTTAAAATGAGTATAAACATGACATACTTGGAAAATTTTAGATTTTCTGCCTAAAATGGATTGAGCCATAATTAGGCTAGTTTCAATCCAAATTACAAATGAACTACATGAAAATATTTGTCTTGTTGAGAGCTTCAAAATAAGTATAAACAAGACATACTTTGGAAAATTGTCATTTTTGACCTTTTCGGCCATAATTTGGCCTATTTTGGTCCGAATTTGAAGTGAATTTCATCAAAATATTTGTGGTTTTAAAAGCTTTAAAATGAGTATAAACAAGACATGCTTTCGAAAATTTTGTTTTTTGGCTTTTTGGGCCATAACTTGGCCAATTTTGGTCCAAAATGTGATATTCAAAATCGCGCCAAATTTTTTTTTCAAATTTAACTCTAATAAGGTCTCTACACTTGTCTAAACCAACAACCAACGATGGAGCAAAAATTAATTATTCTAGAAGAATCTTCTCTTCCTTTCTCATTGAGAATCTCTCTCACTAAGGGGAAAAAGATGAATACTAAAGATATACTATGGAAATTAGCTACGTCGTTTTTTTTTCACTAAAAAAAGCGAAGTCGTTGAAAAGAAGGGGTTTGTGGTGAAGAAGTTGACGATGATGAATTAGAATTTTGAATTATTAGTTATGAAAAAAAAAAGAGAGAGAGAGAGAGAGAGAGAGAGAAGCTAGTTGAGCTTCGTGGTCTATGGCATCAGCTACATGGTATACGATCCCAGTTACATGGAATATGACCCTAGCTACACGGTAAATGACTCCAGCTCCATGGTTTATGACCCTACGCTGTCTTGTTGGGACCACAACTTGGCCAGTTTTGGACGAATTTTTTAAAAACCTATATCAAAATTTTTGTCTGGTCCAGAGCTTCAAAATGAGCACCAATCCAGGTTGTACATGACTACAGCTATCCAAGAATCCTTGTTTTCCTCTTCACTGAAATTTGTTCTCATTGTTTATTCATGAGGAATATAGGTAATCGGATACATTATGCTAATTTTGAGTGAAAGTGTTTTTTCCTTGCTAGATAAGGGCTTTTGGGAGAAGAGAAATTTTGAAAAAAAAATGAATTTCCCGCCAAAAAATTGCTGGGTACCGTATTTCTTCAAAAAGTGATTTTACAAAAAAGTTGTCAACTACAAAACTGTAACTCTAGATTTGAACTTTATTTTTGAAAAATTTCAGAAAAATTGGGTAACAACAATGTGCTTCTGTAGATACCGTAAACACTCTAATAGAACGCCACCCGGACCGTCCATTTTGAGCCTATATATCTCACTTCTTTTGAAAGATATCAAAAAGTTGTCAACTTCATCATGATTTCATCATTTTATTGTTCATCATGATTTTAGCAACATTTTATCAGTTGACAACTTTTTGATATCTCTTACAGGAAATGAGATAAATGAGCTCAAACTCAAAGATTCGGATGACGTTTTATTATAGTGTTTGAATTTCTGAATTTCTGAATTTCTGAATTTCCGAATTTCTGAATTTCTGAATTTCCGAATTTCTGAATTTCTGAATTTCTGAATTTCTGAATTTCTGAATTTCTGAATTTCTGAATTTCTGAATTTCTGAATTTCTGAATTTCTGAATTTCTGAATTTTGGAACTTCTGAATTTTGGAATTTTCGAATTTCTGAATTTCTGAATTTCTCAATTTCTCAATTTCTCAATTTCTGAATTTCTCAATTTCGGAATTTTGGAATTTCTGAATTTCTGAATTTCTGTATTACTGAATTTCTGAATTTCTGAATTTCTGTATTACTGAATTTCTGAATTTCTGAATTTCTGAATTTCTGTATTTCTGAATTTCTGAATTTCTGAATTTCTGAATTTCTGAATTTCTGAATTTCTGAATTTCTGAATTTCTCAATTTCTCAATTTCTCAATTACGGAATTTTGGAATTTCTGAATTTCTGAATTTCTGTATTACTGAATTTCTGAATTTCTGAATTTTGGAATTTCTGAATTTCTGAATTTCATGATTTCAGCAACATTTTATTAGTTGATCACATTTTGATATCTCTCACAGGAAATGAGATAAATGAGCTCAAATTTGTTGATTCGGGTGGTGTTTCATCAGTGTTTACAGTAGTCAAAAAATTGCGACTTTTTTCTAAAACTGTCAATTTTGGGCCTATTTTTCGAGCTTTTCAAGAATTTAAAAAAGCATTTCTGGTCATTTTTTTTCAAATTCAGGGTCAATGAAAAGAGCTAAAAAATTGATTTCAGAGTAAAAAAAACCAAAAAAAAAGGACCAAGAGAGACCAGGATTAATTCATCAAATGTGTTGTGACACTTTCTTCTCTCTCTTTTTTTTCAATTTCATTTTCTTTTTTCGAGAAAAAAGAAGAAGAAAAAGAAGAAGAAGAAGAAGAAGAAGAAGAAGAAGAAGAAGAAGAAGAAGAAGAAGAAGAAGAAGAAGAAGAAGAAAGTCAAATTTTTCCTGTGAGAGGTCTCTGATGGAATGGCACCACAATGAGTGATCGTTAGGCAGAGACCACCACACCATTGTTCAATTTTTAGAAGAAGAAGAAGAAGAAAAAGGGAAAAAGAAGGAGAAGGATTTTTGAAAATCACCACTGGAAAAGAAAATTCTAGACTTTTTTTTTGGGGGAAATTCGAAATTCGGTACAAAAAAAAGGATTTTTGAGAAATTTACAAAGAAAAAAATCACTGGGAATCACTTTTTTTTGGGAAATTTGAAATTTTTTTCGAGATATTTCATTAAAAAAAAAAGAATTTCAGAAACTATTAAAATTCAAAGAATCTAAATTCCTGGAACTCCAGGAAATTTGAAATTTTAGAATCATTATTGAATTCTTTCAGTTTAATCATGAAAATTGTTAAATTTCATAAATTCGATATTCAGGAAGTTTAGAAAGAGGATTTTGATGAATTCAAAGTTTTCGAAATTTCAAAAAAAAAAACAATCAAATTTTCAAAATTTAGGCTCCGCGTCACTTCGAAACCGCATTTCAAATTTCAAAAAAAATCTTATTTACAAAATTTTGGCTCCGCGACACTTCGAAATCGGTTATTTCGAAACTATGTGACACTTCAAAACCGGATATTTCGAAACCAGTCATTTCGAACCGAGACACTTCGAAACCAGTCATTTCAAACCAGTCATTTCGAAACCAGTCAGTTCGAAACCGCGTCACTTCGAAACCAGTCAGTTTGAAACCGCGACATTTCGAAACCAGTCGTTCTGAAACCAGTTATTTCGAAACCAGTCATTTCGAACCGAGACACTTCGAAACCAGTCATTTCAAACCAGTCATTTCGAAACCAGTCATTTCTAAACCAGTCATTTTGAAACCAGTCAGTTCGGAACCGCGTCACTTCGAAACCAGTCAGTTTGAAACGCGACATTTTGAAACCAGTCGTTCTGAAACCAGTTATTTCGAAACCAGTCATTTCGAAACCGACACACTTCGAAATCGGTTTATTCGAAACTATGTGACACTTCAAAACCGGATATTTCGAAACCAGTCATTTCGAACCGAGACACTTCGAAACCAGTCATTTCAAAACCAGTCATTTCGAAACCAGTCATTTCGAAACCAGTCATTTCGAAACCAGTCAGTTTGAAACCGCGACACTTCGAAATCGGTTATTTCGAAACTATGTGACACTTCAAAACCGGATATTTCGAAACCAGTCATTTCGAACCGAGACACTTCGAAACCAGTAATTTAGAAACCAGTCATTTCGAAACCAGTAATTTAGAAACCAGTCATTTCGAAACCAGTCATTTCTAAACCAGTCATTTTGAAACCAGTCAGTTTGAAACCGCGACACTTCGAAATCGGTTATTTCGAAACTATGTGACACTTCAAAACCGGATATTTCGAAACCAGTCATTTAGAACCGAGACACTTCGAAACCAGTCATTTCAAACCAGTCATTTCGAAACCAATCAGTTCGAAACCGCGTCACTTCGAAACCAGTCAGTTTGAAACCGAGACACTTCGAAACCAGTCATTTCGAAACCAGTTAGTTCGAAACCGCGACACTTCGAAACTAGTCACTTCGAAACCAGTAATTTTGAAACCAGTCAGTTTGAAACCAGTCAGTTTGAAACCGCGACACTTCGAAAACCAGTCATTTCGAAATCAGTCATTTCGCAACCAGTCATTTCGAAACCAGTCATTTCGAAACCAGTCATTTCGAAACCGCGACACTTCGAAACCAGAAAAATTTGGTGGTTTCGAAATTTCGCGGTTTCGAAGTGACGCGGAGACGGAATTTAAGAAACTTTGAAATTCGGATAATTCAGAATTTTCGAAATATGTAACATCCCTAGAATTCCAAATTATTCATTAGTTTATGAATTTTGAAAATCGAAAAATTTTCAAAATTTTCAAAAAATTTTTTATTGTTTTATATTCAACGAAAATCAACAATAAAAGTCAAGAAAATGCATTAAAAAAAACTACAAAAACTACAAAAATCAAAAATTTAGAAATTTCAAAATTTTTGAAAAAAAAATTGAAAAATCCTATTTCCACTGGTCCCTCCGTCTCAATGGATAACTGCTGCTCGGAGAGGACGAGTCTAGGGGTGAGGGTGGATGAGAAGACTGATTGCTCATTCTTCTTTTCCTCTTATCCATTGAAAATGTCTCCTCTTTATCACTTGGATTCAAACAGTTGTTGATTTGATACATTGCCGATCGAAATGTCTAAAAAGGCGAGAGAGTGTGAGAAATGGAGAGACACAGAGAAACGAGAGAAGTGATTTTAATACTTTTTAATGGGGATACAAAGGTCGTTTGAAAGGTGCTTTGATTCGGAAAATTCGAAAAAAAAAATCGATAAAAATATTGAATTTGTTATCCTAAAAAATCGAAAAAAATTCAAATATTCGAAATTTTACAAAAAATTTCAAAAAAAAATTAAATTTTTTTATAATTTTCAAAAAAAAAAATTTTTTTATTTTTAAAATTTTTTCAAATTTTTCAAAAAATGAAAAAAAGTTTTATTTTCAAAAAAAAATTTTTTTTTAATAAAAAAAATTTTTTAATTTCTAAAAATTTTCAAAAAAATCTTTTTTAATTTTCAAAAAAATTTTCCATAATCCTAATTTTTTGGATTACTGTACCTCGTTTTTCTCATCCATCTCTGTTGTCCCTTTCTCCGATTTCGACGACTTTTTCAGCATGTTTTCTAGCTGAAAACCTTTAGATAACATGGTGGCCTAGAAAACGGTGGCCTAGGATTTTCCTAGGCCATCTACAGTAACCCACATTCATCCGGATACTGACGTCGATGGTGTTGCCGGCAAAATAGCCGCGGAAGATGCGCGCCAGCTGCCATAATTGAAGACGTTCGGGGCGGAATGATGTGGATCTGGAAATAGGCCTTTTTAGGCTGGTTTTAGGCTTGTTTAGGCTGATTTTAAGTCATTTTTAGACAATTTTAGGCCATTTTAGGGTCATTTTGAGCTATTTTTCGGTCATTGTAGGCTGTTTTTGAGTCATTTTAAGCCATTTTTAGGATTTTCTAGGTCATTTTGGGGTCATTTTAGGCCGTTTTAAGCTAATTTTGGGCCATTTTAGGCTCATTCTAGGCCATTTTCGTGTCATTTTTGACTAGTTTAGGTCATTTCAGAGCCAATTTAGAGCCAAATTAAGGCTTTTTCAGGCATATTTCAGACCTCATTTTTTCCAAATTTTTAGGCCTGTCTGAGGGGCTTTTCAGGCCTATGCTAGGCCAATTTTAGATAATTTCAGGTGATTTACAGGTTTCTTTAAAACTAGTTTAGGCCATTTCAGGCTTTTTTGAACCGATTTCAGGCTAGACCTAGGCTCATTCTCAGGCCTATTTCAGGCCATTTTCAGGCCTACCTGATAACTCGCTTGAACGGAATCTGATATGGTTGAACTCGATCCGCAATACACGCCGTCTGACTGCTCGTCGCTGGTGATGCGTCTTGTGATAAGCAAATCACAACTCCAGTTAGATCTGCAGGTACAGTATCCGGCAGAAAACGAGTGGCACGTGGAGAGATGTACAGGAGGCGGTCTGAAAATTTTTTTTTCAGAATTTTTGAAAAAAAAATTTTTTTAGAAAAGTCAAAAAATATAATTTTTAGGCTGAAAATTTCAGCTAAAAACGATTCATCGGGGTCTGAAAGTGCTGAAAAATCGATTTTTAGCATAAAATTCACCTTTAGGCACCACTGATTCCACTCGTCTCGGTGTGATTTGTGGCGCGAACGGGTGTCGTTTGAAATTCGAAATCGATGGAGGTCCATATTGAAAGAGGAGGTTTCTGGATGAATTGGTTTGGCGGGAAATTTGAATTTTTTGAAAAATTGGAAAAAAAATTTTTTGAATTTTTTATTTTTGAAATGTTTTTTTTTTAATTTTCAAGAAAAACGAACTTTTTAGCAATGGAGCTCAATTGCTGATCTGCTTGATAATTGACAAAATTCAGTTCAAATGGAGTAGAAGATGTCCAATTATCGTCATGGAGCGATTGCATTTGGCTGGAATTTTAGACATTTTTCGAATTTTCAGACAACTTTTAGACTAATTTTCAATCAATTTTCAGCTCAAACAGTCTACAAAACATCAGAAATCGATTATAAAAGTTTTTGAAAATTTTTGAAAAAAAATTTTTTTTCAATTTTTTCAAATTTTGTCTAAATTTCAGTAAAAAATAGCGCAAAAACCATCAAAATTTGTTAAGAAAAAATTTTCGAAATTTTTGAAATTTTTTTTTTCGATTTTTTTCAAAATTTTGAGTTTTTAGGCTCATTTTTCTTGAAATTTCCAAATTTTTAGACAATTTCCACAGTATTTTCACCACTAACTTTGTATAAAACGCCTGCGTTTTAACTGAAAAATCCCTTAAAAATCTGCAATCCACAATGAAATGTTTGAGATTTTCGCCCTGTTTCAGCAAATTCCTCCCATGGAAATTATCGATTTTTTGTCGAAATTCGGGTCCATAGATGTCGACTAACGAGTGGAAATGACGAGCGTAAACCATATTTCCAGCGCTCCAGAGTTTCAGATTTTGCGAGGAAATCTGAAAATTTTTGGGCTATTTTTTGGCGATTTCAGATGCTTTTTGGTGCATTTTTCAGGAAAAAAAATCGATTTTTTAGACAATTTCAAGCTGAAAATCAGATTTTTCAGTCAAAAAAAAATTTTTTTTTCAAAAAATTGTTATTTTTTTCTAATTTTTTATCCTATTTTCCCCCTCGTTCTCAGCCAATAAATGCTCACCAACTCTCGATTTTCAGCCAAATTTTCCAGATTTTTTTCTCGATTTTTTTCACGAAAATCCATTATTTCCATGAGATAAATGTAGCGCTCATCCCATGCCATTTCCATTAAAACGCCCCAAATTTCGTCGTTAATTTTCAGCGATTCCAGAGTTTCAGCGCCATAGACGTCTTTCAGCAGCTGGAAAATAATTTCAGATTTTCAGATTTTTAAAATTTTTCAAAAAAAAAATTCATTTTCAGAATTTCAAAAATTTTCAGCACCTCCAGCTCTGATGCGACCTTCACAAAGTGCTTTTTTTGTCCAGGACGTCTCACTTTGGCATACATAAACGCTGCCGACGGCATATAACTGGGTGGCGGCGGTTTTTCGGCGATTTTCGCTTTTTCAGCGATTTTTCGAAGTAAAACCCGTGTTTTCCACATTTCTCTGTAATTTTCTGATTTTTTCGCACTTTTTTCCAAGAAAAATGAGCAATTTTGAGCTAGAAACGGCTGAAAAAACGCTGAAAAACAAAAAAATCGGCAAAAAACAAAATTGTTGTTTGTCGTCTGCGTCTCTTCATTCTGTGTACTCTCTCGCAAGGAGGTAAATGCGCGCGAATTTTGAATTAAAAAAGAAGAGAAAAGCGAATTTCAGAGTCATTCATCAGGGAAAAAGAAAATTTTGAAAAAAAGAGACTTCAAAACATACTAAAAATAATAAGCAATATAAAATCACAGAAAAAAGATGAATTTATACAAGTAGTTTCGAAGAAACAGGAAAAACGCTAAAAAATTTAACAAAACCGGAAATTAGCAAGATTTTTACATTTTCAGACCATTGAAATAGGTTAAAAAAAACCAAAAATCACTTTCAATTAGTTATTCACTGGAAAAAACTTGCGAAAGTTCGCAAAAACCCGAATTTTCGATTTTTATCAATGGAGCGAGATTGCATCTTTATCTCATTCAAACGAGATCGCTCTAAAGTTAACTTTCAAGCTAATCTAGATTACAACCTCTAAAACCTTCAAAAATCCAAATTCCGCGCCTCAAACCTCACGTAGCGACCTATTCTCCTATTCCACATCTAGGCTACGCCACATCTAGTCTCCGCCCCTTTCCAGCCAACCCCGTGGCAAATTAGCTATTCTCTCCTCAGTATTCTTTATCCACCAGTGACATCGAGGCATTTTTCCCGAAAAGTGTAAGTTTTTAGAGGGATTTTTCGAAAATTCGCATTAGAGCGCATTTGTCCCATTTTCAGATGGTATTCGTGTCAAAAGCTGCTCCACTGAACCTCTCGACCACACCGGTACACGAGCGTATTCTTCAGGCATGCCGAATCCATTCGGTCGCCAATAAAGACGCTGTGGTGTTTGTAAGTGCGCCCCACTGTACGCAAACACGCTCCATTGATAATTTAGATTGATGCGGAGACAACGACGAAAAAGAAATTCTATCGTGACGTGGAGCCGACTGTGAATAGCTTGGCAACGGCGCTTGTGAAGCTGTAAGGCATTTTTTTTTTGGAAAGTTTTGAAAAGTTCAGTAGAGCGAATTTGCAGGGGATTCAAGCCAGGAGACGTGGCTGCTCAAGCTTTTCCAAATTGTCCGGAATTCCTAATCTCCATGTTGGCTGTGATGAAATGCGGAGGCGCTATGTCAAATGCTAGTGCGATTTTTACAGACTGTAAGTCTTCTAAGCTGGCCTAGAAAAATCCTAGGCCATTTTCAGACGAGCTTCATCTCCAATTCAATGACTCGAATACCTCGATTGTCTTCACTGACGAAGACCGTTTGGCACGTGTCCGTCGGGCAGCCGCCAAGTGTCCGGGAGTTCGAAAAATCATTTGTCTTCGAACTTTTCCGTTGAGAGGCGAATTTCCGGAGAATGTTCTAGATTTTGTGGAATTGACACAAACACCGGATCAACCAATTAATGTAGTTGTCTCGTGAGTTTTCCGACTGTGAAAATGTTAATTTTGAGCCGAGTTATGAGCATTTGAAGGTGATGGCCTAGAAATTTCAATTTTTGGGTTTTCTAGGCCACCTGCTTAAATTGGACATTGCCACTATTCTATTGAGCGGTTTACGTTGCGTTTTTTTAACATGTTAAATTTGATAAATCTCAGTTTTCAGCTGAGTTACAACCGTTTGAAAGTGATGGCCTAGAATTTTCATTTTCTAGGCCAGCGGTTACAAACGGTCATAACATTTCTCAGAATCTACCGATTTGAGATTTTCCAATCATAAGCATGAGTCAAAGCTATAACTGATAATGTGGAAACTGATAATGTGGAAAGGTGTCTGAAAAATGTTGATTTTGAGCCGCGTTAGGAGTATTTGAAGTTGATGGCCTAGAAATTTAAATTTTTGGAGTTTCTAGGCCACCCGCGTAAAAGAGATATTGTGATAATTTAGTTTAACAGTCTAAGCCACGTCTTTTCCTGTTTTCAGATTAAAAAAATCTAAATTTTCAGCCGAGTTACAGCCGTTTGAATGTGATGGCCTAGAAATTGCAAATTCTAGGCCACTGGTTACAAACGGCCACAACTTGGTTCAAAGTTGATTGATTTGAATTTTGGAAAGTGTTGGGAAAACCTCTGAGTTAGAGCAATATGTCAATGTTAAAATTATTATTGTTGAAAATGCATGGTGGCCTAGAAATTGCAATTCCTAGGCCAGCGGACGAAGTGTCATAGCTTGGGTCAAAGTTGGTCCATTAGAATTTTGAAAATTGCTATAACAAGCTCAAACTTTGAACCATCACCAAATTCAAAACTCTAAATTTCAGCCCCGACTCAATTGCCCTCCTCCCCTACTCATCTGGAACCACTGGCCGTCCCAAAGGGTGTCAATTGACACATCACAACATTTCCGCGATGTTGGACATTGCCGTCAACCATTTGCAAACTGAAATTGGTCCGGCAATGTTTGGAAAAGAGAAAGCCACGTGGCAAAAGGAGCATGTGCTTCTGTTGTTGCCATGGTACCATGCCTATGGGCTCAATACAATGCTCGAGTCGATTTTGCTCGGAATGACTGGATTGGTTTTTAAGAAGTTTGATACGATTGTTATGCTAAATCGTATCAAGTTTTATAAGGTTTGAACCAAAAATCTGGCATTTATAATATCTCAAAATCTAAATTTCCTAGGTGAAACTGGCGTGGCTGGTCCCTCCAATGCTCATTTTCCTTGCCAAAGACGTTATGGTTCCGATTTTCAACATTGCCCCATTCCTGAAAGTGATTCTTTCCGCTGGAGCAACTGCCGGAAAACAGTTGTGCGAAGAAGTGAAAAAACGCTTCCCGAACGCCTGGCTTTGTCAGGCATACGGTATGACTGAGATGGTCCAATTCACGACGTTCCCCAAACTGGAAAATGGAGATTGTTTTGAGACGGTTGGAAGTTTGGGACCAACGTATGAGTTGAAGATTTTGGATAAGGATAATAAGGAGGTTTGTGTTTTTCAGCTCTAGTGTTAAATCTGCACTTTTCAAACACTTTTAAAAACTCAAATTGACCAACTTTACGCCGAGTTATGGCCGTTTGCAACCGGTGGCCTAGAAAATGCGATTTCTAGGCCACCATGCGGTTTCAAAAATTATTATTTTACATTATCTAATAGTGCTGAATCAGCGCTTTCTGTAACACTTTTAAAAACTAAAATCGCTCAATTTTTAGCTCAGTTATAGCCGTTTGTAACCAGTGGCCTAGAATTTCCAATTTCTAGGCCATCACTTTCAAACGGTCGTAACTCGGCTGAAAATTTAGATTTTTGAAATTTGAAAAGTGGAAAAAACGTGACTTGAGCTATTCAACAAAACTGCTATTTAATTTTTATTGAGATAGTGCCCTAGAAAACCCATTAATCGAAAATTCTAGGCCATCAACTTAGAAATTGCAATTTCTAGGTCATCATTTTCAAACGCTCGGAACTTGGCTCAAAGTTGAGATTTTTCAATTCTGAAAATGAAAAAAAAACGTGTATTGAGCTTTTCAATAAAACAATCACAAAATCTGATGAAAGACGGTGGCCTAGAAAACCCAGACATCGAAATTTCTCGGCCACCCCATTCAAACAGTTATAGCTCGGCTCAAAATTGAAATTCTACAATTTTGAAAAATGGAAAAAACAAACAACTTTTTTATTAACAAACAACTTTTTTATTATCAATTCAGATCACAAAAATCGACACCGTGGGTCAGTTGTGTTTCCGTGGGCCGACTGTAATGAAGGGATACTTGAAGAAGGAAGAAGTTGAAATCATCGATTCTGATGGTTTCCTAAAAACTGGAGATTTGGGATCCATCGATGCCAAAGGACGTATTCATGTGACTGGGAGAATCAAGGAGTTGATTAAAGTTAATGGAATGCAGGTTTGTAGTTGATAGTCATATTTCTTATTATTTTGTAGCAAATTTCAAAGGTTGCATTTTACTTTTTACATTAATTTAAAATGTTAAGTTTGAAGAGAGTTATGAGCTAAATAAGAATCTATGCCCATTTTTTTTTCCAAATTTCCGAGTTAAACGTTTTCAAAGAGGCGTAACTTCCTTCAAATTTAATACTTTTAAAAGATTTAAAATGTAAAATGTAGATTTTAAAATTGCCTACGATTTGATATGAAACACACCTATTCGAAATTTAAAATTTGAGGTCCCACCCGTTGAAATCGAAGACGTCCTTCTTCTCCATCCAAAAGTCAAGGACTGCGCAGTTATCGGAATCCCAGACGATCAGAAAGGCGAATCCCCAAAAGCCTACGTCGTCAAAAAAGATCACACACTGACCGAAGCCGAGCTTACTGACTTTGTCCGTCAGAAGCTCTCCTCATACAAATGGATTGATTCCTACGAGTTCATTGATGTGATTCCAAAATTGCCATCTGGAAAAATTCAGCGGAAAAAGTTGAAGGAAATGGCAATGGCCGTTGGGTCCACAGAGAACTCGGAATCCGAAATGAGCCAGAAAAGTGCTGAAACTACGACTGGAAAGAGTGCAGAGGTGTCGGTTAGAAGTGCTGAGATGAGCAATAACTGAATTCAAACGATCCTGAAGTCAACAAAATTAGTGAACTTTTCTAGATGAATAAAAGTAAATTTGATGTGAATTTATCAAAAATTTGTGTCAAAAACATTGAATGTGAGAAATTCGGAGATTCAGAAATTTTGAACATTTGAGATTTTGAGATACTGAAATTCTAAACTTCTGAGATTCTCTTATTCTGAGATTCCGAAATTCTGAGATTCTGAAATTTTGAGATTCTGAAATTCAGATATTCAGAAAGTTGGAAATTTGAAAATTCAAGAGAGTCAGAAATTCAGAAATTTGGACTCTTTCAATTTTTTCCGAATTTTCTGGAAATCGAAAATTACGAAAAGTAAAAATTTTTTTGAAAATTCAACTTTTGGAATTTCACAACCTTTTTACTTGAATTTTTTTGAAAGTTTTCACTTTTGGGGTTACTGTGGTTTTTCTGAATTACTGTAGCTTTCATAAGTTACTGTAGAACTATTGTAGTGATGAGAGTACGGTATCTTTTTTGAGTTCATCTTCAGTTCTTCTAGGACTACTGTAACTGTTACTAGGCTACTTTTGGATTACTGTACTTTTTGGATTACTGTACTTTTTGAATTACTATACCTTCAAAACTTCTAGAACTTTTGAATTTTTCAAAATTTTTTGTCGAAAAACATTGCATTTGGAAAATTCGGAAATTCAGAAATTCCAAAATTCAGAAATTTTGAATTTTTAAATTTTTGAAAATGTGAGATTTTGAAACATTCAAAAATTTCTAAAATCTAGAAACTCAAGCATTTGAAAATAACATAGGGAACCCAAATTTCAGGGCCTAGAAATCCAAAAACGATGACCTTGAGAAATTTCTAGGCCACCAATGGTTTGGTTTTCTAGGTCATCATTCTCGAATTTCTAGGCCACAAAATTCAGAATTCTCGGACACCTCACCATATTTACCCCCATTTTGCCATGCCTGCATTTCTTCCGGAATCACCTGTACAATTGCTCAGTTTGATCCTAATAACTGGAGTCACTTACTGACAGATGGCCCATCCGGTTTAGGCTCCGCCCACTTTTTGGGAGTCCACCTTTTTTGCGTCTAATGGACTGTTAATCGTTTTTTTTTCCGGATTCTCTTTTTTCGTGTTTCTAGGCCACCTTTCAAAAAATGTCAGGCCATAACTTTTTTTTTCTCTAAAATTCAAATTTTTTGTTGATTTTTTTATTAGTTTCCGAATATATGAAGTTCTTGTTTCTTCGGATTTTCGAATTTTCGTTTTCACTTTCTGAGTTTCTGAATTTCTGAATTATCACATTTTTATTCGAAAAAAAAAATCATTTTCAGATTAAAAACACACAAAAAAAGGGACAGATTGGACAGAAAAGTGGCAAAAAAGGGGCGGAAAAGAAAATCCCAAAAATCTAGTAGAAATATAAAAAAACCGAAAATTTCAGAATGTTTTTTCAAAATCTGGAATTTGACGAAATCCCAAAATAGGACAGATTAGACAGCAAAGACAGGAAAAGGGACAAAAAGTTTTGGAAAAAGAAGCCAAGAAAATCTGGAAATTCAGATAGAAAATTCACAAAAAAAATAACAGTAATTTCAGAAAGAAAATCAGGCAAATCTGGAATATCTGGGAAAAACAACTAGCGGAGCTTCAGGAAAAATAGGAATTTCCAAAAAGAGAGAAATCACACAAACGGCAAATATCCTTTGATTTTCTGCGCCACCACCTCAACCAAACCATCCATGACAGCTTCGATTTCTCCGATTTCTTTCAAATTCTCCTCCAATTTCTCGCGATTTGCCAGCTCGTATCTCATTTGGACTCTTTTCTCGCCTTCCATAGTTTCACATATCTTCAAAATTGGGCAATTAACTAGAGATTCTGTGTTTTGTTGAGCAATTCTATCGGATTTTGCTTGGTTTTTGAGCTCTCGACGGAGTTTATAGATATCTTCGAGTAGTTGGTCCCGTTCAATTTCAAAAATTGTGCAAAGATTGTATTGTTCGTCGGAATCTGCAAAAAAAACGGTTTTTTTTTGAGATTGTTGAGCCAGTCTTGACAATTTTAGCAATAAAAATTTTGATTTTCAGACCCCAAGACAAGCCGAAATTCATTTGTTTATAGTGACCTAGCTGTCCCAATTTTGGCCTAGTTTTTGGGGCCTAACTTAGGTTTTGCTAGATGGCCTAACTTTTCCATTTCTCGTCCAAGATCGTTTTCAGACCACCAACGAAGTATTTTTCACATGTTTTTGATCAATTTTTCCGGTTTCCCACACCCCTAATTTGAGCATATGACTGCATTTTTCGCTTTTTCTCATTTTTTTTGGTTACTTCAAAACTTGCATTTTTTTTTGCTTTTTGCAAAGAAACGAAAACCCCAGGATTTTTAAATATTTTTCTTTTTTCCTTAAAGGTGGGGGGACATGAAAAAAATTATTTTCTCGAAATTTCGTTCAAAGATGCTCCTCGAGGAGTTGAACTTGTGAGGGCGATGATTGAGGGTGCGGCGCCGCTACCGACTGAGCCACGCGGGCAAAGAGAAAGCGCACGCCCGATTGCATACATAAAGGCGGGGACGACAGCTGTACGCAGAGTGACATTAAGCGTTGTACACCGTCACGGTAGAATGCATACTCTAGCTACAAAAAAACTACGAAAAATCTCCTGTTCCTCCGCCTTTAAACTTTCAAAATCAAGAATTACTGTAGATTTGGAATATGATATTATTTAATTGTTCTCATTGACGACCTAATTTTCTATGCAATGACCATACATCTCCCACTAAAGAAAGACCGTTTCCGAGCATTTCATTAGGCTATCATGGAAAAAGTTAGGCCACTATGAACCAAAGATTCACCAAAGGTTGGTGGCCTAACTTTCCCATGGCATGGCCGAGGTTTCTCTAGGGTGGGCGAACTTTCAAAACAAAGTGACCAAACTTTCCAATATCACGGCCTAGCTTTCCTATGGTCTTACTCAAAAGCTATGGCCTAACTTTCTCCACGACAGCTTAACTCTCAAATTCCATGGCCTAGCTTTCTTAGGACGTGGCCTGATTTTCCAATGGCGCTGTCATAACTTCCCAACGCCGTGGCCTTACTTTCTCCACCTCTTCCAAGCTATCCTAATTCATGCCCTAACTAATCAAAGCTGTGGCTTAACTTTGCAAGTGCATGGTTTAACTTTTTCCCCTCAGAAGGAGACATCGACTTTCCAAGTGAAGGATTACTGTAGCTATTGCATGTGCTATTCTTTAATTTTTCTATGAAATATGACCTGACTTTCCCAAAACTTATCCTAATTTTCCCAGGACATGACCCAGCTTTCTCAAGTCATGGCCTAACTTTCCCCACTACTCACCTCTTCCAAACCACCAACAAACTCCAGCCACACGTGGCGCCTGATCCTTCTCCTTCCAATAAGCAATTTGAACGTCCGGACTTTTAAAATAGTACTCCATATAACAATTTTCCGGGTTCTCCACCTCAAACGTCGGCTTAAAACTCATGCAGTTATTGGAAGCGAACTCAAATCCCTGGTGAACAAAAGAAATGGACTTTGCACCATCTGGAATTCCGAAATTCTTTTCCGATTGACCCAAAAATGGTCCGGTTAGAAGGTACACCAGATTTTTCTCCTTTTCTGACACTTTGAAAATGTTCTTGTTGCCAATGGTGAACGCAAAATTCGAGTTGGATTTTTTATAGAAAATATCGGTTGGCGCCAATTTTTCCATGTTCGGTTTGGAGGTCCGGGTCCGTCCCAAACGTTCCCTCTTCAGTTTTTCGTAGGTGGTCCCGTTGAAGAGACGGAACTTTTCCTGGAAAAGTTTAGAATTTTAGAATTTTAGAATTTTAAACATTTTAAGCTCTTTTTTTGAAATTTTTGAATTTCGCGCCAAGTTTAGAATTCAAACTGACCATTTTTATAATCACATCCAGCTTGCTCTCTTCTAGAATTTTTAAAATTTCATCTGGAAGTCCCTTCTTCATGATTTTCCTCAAATTCGCTGGTTTCCTGGAATTTAGAAGTTCTAGAAGTTTTCGAGGTATAGTAATCCAAAAAGTACAGTAATCCAAAAGTAGCCTGGTAACAGTTACAGTAATCCTAAAAGAACTGAAGATGAAATCGAAAAGACTACCGTAACCTCCTCACTACAATAGTTCTACAGTAACCTATGAAGGCTACAGTAACCCCAAAATGAAAACTAGAGTGGTTCAAAAACTACAGTAACCCAAAAAGGGAAATTTTTCAATAAAATTCAAATAAGAAGGTTCTTAAATTTCTCAAAATTAATTTTTTTCTGGAATCGAAATTTCGAGATTCAGAAATTCAGGAATTCAGAATCTCAGAATCTCAGAATCTTAGAATCAGAACCTTTGAATTTCAGAAATTGAATAATTCAGAAAAACTAAAAATTTCCGCATGAAAACATAAAACAGGTGTTGATTATCTCCTAAAATATGACTAAAAACGCGAAGATTTCTGCTTGAATTGTTCATGAAAAAATAGAAAAATGAAGATGATTTCAGAAATTTCCAAAAAAGTTAAATTGGGAATTTTTTTTGGGAAATACGTAGAAAGGGGGAAGTTTGAAAGGCGAAAAATAAAATTTTTTGACCATGGCCTAACCTTTTTATTAGTGGCCTAACTATTTCTAGGATGGCCTAACTTTTCTCAGGCTGGCCTAGCTTTTTCCAAGGTGGCCTAACTTTCTCCATGATGGCCAAACGTTTTCCATGGCGGCCTAACTTTCCCCAAAAATTAACTTTTCTGGAAGTCATAAAATTGGTGCATGGTAGCCTAACTATTTCTAGGATGGCCTAACTTTTCCTATGTTGGCCTTACTTTTTCCAGGATAGCCTAACTTTTTCCATGGTGGCTTAACTTTTCCCGGACCGTCTTCCTTTGCCAGGGGATCTAACATTTTCATGATGGCCTAACTTTTTGAAAGGTTGGCCTGATTTTTCAAGGTGGCCTAACTTGCTCCGTGGTGGCCTAACATTTCCAAAAATGAGCTTTTCTCAAAACTGAACAAATGGTTCATGGTGGCCTAACTTTTTTCTATGGTTATATGAGATTTCCCAGGATGGCCTGACTTTAAGGATGACCTGTTTTTTCCTGAAAATGAGCCGTCGATCCATGGTGGCCTAACTTTTTCCAAGGTGGCCTAGATTTTTCCTAGGTAAACTAATGTTTTTTTTTGCCCGGGTGGTCTAGTTTTTTCCAAGAGTTGGCCTAACTTTTTCTGGAATATCCCAACTTTCTCAAAAATGAGCTTTTCTCATAAGTGAACCTTTGGTTCATAGTGGCCTAACTTTTTCCATGGTGGCCTAACTTTTTCCATGATAGCCTAACTTTTCCCGGACCGCCTTACTTTGTCAGGGGGCCTAACATATTCCATGATGGCCTAAATTTTTCCAAGGTGGCCTAACTTTTTCCATGATAGCCTAACTTTTCCCGGACCGCCTTACTTCGTCAAGGGGGCCTGACAGATTCCATGATGGCCTAACTTTCTCCATGGTGGCCTAACTTTTCCTAAAATAACCTAATTTTCTCAAATTTTCAGAATCAGCAATATAAAAAAAAAGCAGTTTCTCCCAAATAAAAATTGCAACAAAAAATTTAGGCCGAAAAAATCCAATTTCCGTTTTTTTTCCCACACCCCATTTTTTTGTGTCACAAGTCACCTGATTTTTGCACTTAATCTGTGAAAAGTTTCAGCGAAAAATAGCAGCAAATTTTTTAGCTGAAATTCATGGAAATGGGGAGTACTGTAAACTTTCCAAAATTGGGATTACTGTAGGTCTTCCCAAAAAAAGTACAAAACTTTCGTCGTCCAAAAAAAAGCCCATTTTTAAGCGAATAATGAGAAAAAAGAGCGAAAAAAGTGTAAGCGTAATCCTTCAATTTCCTGTGAAAGGATAGATACTGAGGATAAGCACCGCGCCGAGCACCGAGGCACCGAGGATAAGATTAGCAATATTTTATGGGATTTGTTACTGAAAAAAGTTGATATAGGTATGTGACGTAACACACAGGATTAGGGAGGGAAATTCTGACTTCTTTTAGGTTTGTTTTTCCAAATTTACAGAAAATTTGAATTTCAAAAAATTCACGAACCTAATTTTACAGGGTGGCTGAAAAGTATTGAGACACTTGTTTTTTGTTGTATTTTCAAAAATGAAGTTTCAACAAAAGAACCAGATTTATTTTTTCAACAAATGATAGTAATAGAAAAGATATCAGAGGAGATATTCGAAGTTTGAACAAATCACACATTTCTGTCAAAAAGTGAGCTTTCTAGCTTCACTGTGAGCCGAGATACACCACTCCAAAGTTTAGAGAGACGCAGGTGGTTCAATACATTAACATCTGAAAAGTCAAGCGTCTTTCAAAAATTAAAATTCTGAAATTCTGAAAGCGCTTTAAAAACAAAGCAGAATGGTGAAAAAACACGTCTCTAGCTCATCTGAGAGTCGAGATACAGCCGTTTGAAGTTTAAAGAGACGCCGGCAGTTAGAGTGTCTCGTTGTCTGCGTCTTTCCCCTTTCCACACACTCTCTCGCCTCCAGAACTACGAATTGCTGTATCTCGGCTCCTAGATGAGCTAGTAACCTCAAACTTTTTGCAAAATAATGAATTTTTTAATGAAGAATTAAGAAGAAAACATACAAAGTTCGCATCTCTGCTTCCAAACTCAGAATAGTACAAATCCTTAAACCCATCGTTTGCGCAAAATATCGACTTGTAACACGACCCCTGTTACACAAATCCTTAAATTTTTGGGCTGCTAGAAGTGTTTGGACACACAAAACTTTCGAAAATCAAATCAGAAACATATTCATGTTCCCCGTGGGAAAATTATTCCAGAAACTTGTAACCGATTTTTTTCAGCCGACTTTTCTATTTTTTTTAATCTGAAAATCTTTCTGGAGGTGTAACCTGGAAGATTTCAAATTTTAGAAATTTCCGAAAGTCTGGAAAATTCCAAAAATGCTTATACTTTGGTGAAAAATTTGAATTCTTAAGAAATGACATCCGAAATCAGAGAATACTCTAAAACTTTGCCGATTAGTGAAACAATGACGCTTCTAGCTCAACTGAGAGCCGAGATACTGCGCTTAGGAGTTTGAAGAGACGCAGACAGTTAGAGTGTCTCGTTCTCTGCGCTCTCCCCTTTCCACGATTTTTTTTAAACAGAAATGTTTCTTGAATTTCAGATTTTCAGAAAAAAAATTATCTAGGAGGCGAGATACAGCTATTCGAAATTCGGGAGGGTTAGAGATTGTGTAGGAAGGGGAGAGCGCAGACGACGAGACACTCTAACTGTCTGCGTCTCTTCAAACTCCTAAACGCTGTATCTCGGCTCTCAGGTGAGCTAGAAGCGTTATCTTTTTGGTAATTTGTGTAGTTTTTGAAGCTTTTTGATTCTTGAACAATGTTTCCCATTTTCCAAATTTCAGATTTTCAGATTTTCAGAAATTTAAAGGTTTTTGAAAATGCGAGCTTCCAATTAACAAAAAGCTGAGATATAGTCATTCGAAGTTTTAATTTCAAGCTAAATTACGAGCGTTGGAAAATGATGGCCTAGATTTTGTATTTTCTAGGCCACTGGTTACAAACTGCCATAATTTTGCTCATAATTGACTGATTTGTGTTTGGAAAAGTGTTAAAAACACCTCAATTTTAAAACTATCAATCACATATACAATTACTATTGTTCAAACTTAACGTTGGCCTAGAAACTGCAATTTCTAGGTGAGTGGTTACAAACGGCCATAGCTTGGCTGAGAATTCAGTTATAAAAAGTTATATAAAGTTATAACCGATTTCAGTTATAAAAAGTTTAAAAAAACATCTATTTAGCACTGTTTGTGAAAAAACTACCTGTCTCCCAACAAGTCCCATACAGTCCTTTGAGCTCATAACCATCGGAACGCTTCCAGATTTTTCTATTTCTATCGCATTGGAAACCATCAACGTTTGCCAAAACCTCATCGGGGTGGAGCAATATCAGATCCCCCGATGAACAACTCATCTGGACTGTACATCCATTTTGCATGATTGTTGGAGTGGAGATTGGATACGAAACTATTTCTTCATAGTATCCGGCGTATTTGACAACGTTGGGGGACAGGGAGCTGAAGAGAGATTCTCGTATTCAAACATTCTAAAAAATCGAGTTTCCAAGCACAAATTGATCAAAACATCCAGTTTCTAGCTCATCTGAGAGCTGAGATAAAGTCATTCGAAGTTTTGGAGGCGAGAGAGTGTTTGGAGAGAGGAGAACGCAGACAGCTAGACACTCTAACTGTCTGCATCTCTCCGAAACTTCAAATGGATGTATCTCGGCTCCCAGATGAGCTAGAAACGTGATTTTTTCACTGAATTGTGTAGTTTCTTCCAAAACAAATTTCAAAAAATTGAAAACTCAGATTCTTACCAATTTTCACCACCAAACAACCTTCAGAAAATCCAGCGAAAATCAGTAGAATTAGAAATTTCATCTTTGAAATTTCTATCTTTCCAAACATCTATCTTTCGGTTTTGACAATATTTTCGGGATTTTTATGTTAATTTTCTAATAAATTATTCATATTTTTCCTGAAAAGACCCATTGTTCAAAAAAGTATACAAATTTTATTAATACTAATTTTGGGGAAAAATACAATTTTCAGAATATCAAAACTAAAAAATTTAGAGAAAATTAATACAATGGAACAAAAAAAAGTGATACCCGGATTTATTAAAAAAGCAACATTTTGAGAAAAAAAAGAAGAACTTTGAAATTAGATTTATCCACCGAGCAAATATCTCTCTTGAGCGTTGTACAATTTGTCGAGATCATTGTTGGATTGGAGAGGCCAGACGGGGATGGAGAGCTTGAAATTTTTTAAATATTTTTTATTTTATCAGAAAGAACTTTTCAAAATTCACAGAATAGTGAAAAAAGCAGGTTTCTAGCTCATCCGGGAGCCGAGATACGGTCACTTGGCGTTGTAAAGGCGAAGGAGTGTGTGGAAAGAGGGAGAGCGCAGACAGCGAGACACTCTAACTGTCTGCGTCTCTCCAAACTTCAAAGCACTGTATCTCAGCTTCTAGTTGAGATAGGAATGTGATTCTTTCACTAATTTGTGTTAGTTTTGGAACTTTTTCAGAATTTTTGCAGAAATTCTGATTTCAAAAAAATTATGACAAGATTTCTGAAATGTTTTAGGTTTTCAAAATTTAAAAGTCTTGGATTTCTGTCTTCTGGAAAAATCATGTTTATAGCTTCTCTGGGAGCCGAGATATGACCCTTCGAAGTTTCGGAGAGACGCAGGCAGTTAGAATGTCTCGTTGTCTGCGCTCTCTCCTATCCCCATACTCTATTGTTGCCTAAACTTCAAATTGCTATATCTCGGCTTCCGGGTGAGCTAGAAATGTGATTTTTTGACATAACAAATTCTCATTTTTCATATTTTTCAAATTATATAAAAATTTCAACAAAAAAAAATCCACTCACTCTCTTCGCGACATCTCTCGATGTATCTCTGGACGTCACATAAATGAAACTGCACTTTTTCCCATATCTCGTCTGAATCTTCTCGAAAATCGACTCTTTTCCCTGTTTCAGTGTCGAATAAATATTCTCAATGGGCACGGCTCCGTTGAGCCCAGCAATCAGGAGCTCAGCGGCTCCTTGGACGACTCCATCACTTGTCAAAACAACGTTCGCATATTTGTCAGCGGAAATTTTTGATCGTTCCACTACCAAATCCATACATCTTTGAGCGCATTGCCATCGCTGACCGCAGTTGTTGTAGGCAAGAAGCTGGAGTGCGTATTGGGAGAGTTCGGCTCCCCGATTGACCAGTCCAATTCGTTCGAGGAGGTCTGAAAATAGAGAAATTGAAAATAGGATTTTCTAGACGCTACATGGTCCAAGAACCACATTTCTAGATCACCTGGAAGCCGAGAAACAAGAATTCGAAGTTTGAGGGCAAGAAACTGTGGAGAGAGGAGAGGGCAGACAACTAGACACTCTAGCTGTCTGTATCTCTCTAAACTTCAAAGCCTTGCATCTCGGCTCCCAGATGTGCTAGAGTGATGATTTTTTTACTAATCTGGGTTTTTTTTTCAGGCTTTCTCAGGTTTCGAACATAAATTTGCGAGTGTCCCAGATTTCAAAATTTAAAACTTCGGATTTCCATGATAAAGGTTCGAATTTTTGAGATGTTCGGAATATACAGAATTCTCAATTTCTGGAGACTTTCTTTCATGTTGGACATCCAAAAAGATAAAAGAATAGAAATTTCAAACTTCTGGAAAATTCAACAGCGTAGAGTGCCGGCTGAAAGCCCAGCTTGGAGAATTTGAAAGCAACGATTCTTAAATGTCAATTGTAAATTCAAGTTTTCTGACACATTTTTGTGAAAAAAGCAAGCTTCTAGCTTTCCTGGGAGCCGAGATACAGCGATTTGAAGTTTTGAAGGCGAGAGAGTGTTGGCAAGGAAGAGTGCGCAGACGACAAGGCAGTCTTGCTGTCTGCGTCTCTCCAAACTTCGAAGTG